TGCACTGGCAAATATTATTTGAAAAATTGTCCGTCTGTCGGTCACGTATGCGAACTCATGACATGTCCTTCAAAAATTCCTTGGCAATCTTTTTTACTCCAATGGAAATTTTCTACTTTACTTTGTCAGACCTTACGCCAAGTCCTCTTGAAAGATGAGACGTTCGCCCCAAGCTATTCTCAAAATGGAGAAAACCATAAGATTCAAGTTCAACAATTTGAACCTTGGCATTGTAAATAGTCTTCTAATCCTTTTTCTTTAACAACAAATAAGTACAGAACTTACCGTACTTTAACACAGTACAGGACTTTATACAGACTGACGTTTCTCTCTCAAACGGCAAACTCTCATTCTTTGAAGTACGAAAAGTTTAAAACACATAAGTAACCTATCCGACGACCAAACGCCTCGTCGATCACAGAGAAAAGGCTAGCCCTTTAGAAAGACAGTATGAGATCCTGTAAACAAAGTTCTCGAGGTGTTCAGACAACTTGCAATTCACATTTGCAATCAGAAAAAGTTGATGACAAAAACATGGAAGCCGAGAATCTGCCCCGATGCTTCTGTTGAGATAATAGGTCACGGTCCTAAGCAGTGATGCAGAATGATTACTGATCTAATAGAACCAGTATCTCCCTCAAGTGTTTTCTTGTGGCATATACAAACGAGAGTGAGCGAATCCGCTGCTTCCCTTTTCCCACGCAAGATGGTTGGTGACAAATTCTTACCAAATTTTATCTGTTAAATGTATTTTAGATGTCAGCATTGCATTATCACTTTATTGCTGGGTCATATATTGGTTGCACCTTGATGCTGGTTGTCACTTATCTCGTTATATACGACTTTTATGATGAGATGTTCGAGTTTTACGAGATGGTACAGGAAGATCTTCGAATCTTTGAGGTGAGTTCGAGTCCAGATTGACCTCGTATCTGCATGATTGTTCATCTTTCTAAACCATACTCCGTCAAGGGCAATCCGTCCTAATTTTTTTGTAGTTGTTTTTGTTAGGTAAGTACTAAGTCTTGCACCAAGTGAGTTTATACTTCCGTAAGTCTACTCCTGTCTACATGCTCCGGGGTAACATTCGATAGAGCAGATT